TAGTGATTTTAGTGATTTTTTTATCAATAAAGTGCCTGTTTGGTGACTCACCAAGTCACCAAAAAGTGGCCTGCTACCATCCCTTTTGTATAAGTACCAGCATATTTTGAAGAAGTTTCGAAGGAGAGTTCAAAGTGAATTCCAAGAAAATGTCAAGAAATTCTCTGAACCTTGCTAGTGCTTGGAAACACTGCGTAAACTTTTCCTAATGCATTAGGAAGCTTGATGGAATTTTGAGAAGAATTTCAAATGAATTCTCAGGAAAGTTCCCTTGCAATTCTGGAGTAAATTCCAAGGATAACACTTTCTAAATTCAAAAGGGCAAACCAAGAGATTTCTGAAGCATATTTCAAATGAATGTCAAAGATAATTATGAAGAGAAATTAAAGTGAATTCTCACGAGCAGTGTTGGGAAAATATCAAAAGATAAAATCTCACCAATGAGCATAATCTCATTTGATTATTTTAAGCAAAAATCAACCAGCAAATAACAAGCGGTTGATATTAAAAGCTGTGATAGGGTAGCTCTGATATCATGCTAACAAAACTCACCAGCCACAATTCTCACCAAACTGTGGTGAGTTTGAGCTTCAGGATTTTTGCTGTGCATCCGAACACGAAGCGAAACTTCCATCACTGCTGGCAGCAGTAACTTCGTGTCTGCCATCCTATGAAGAGTAAAGAGAGGTAGCAAACTATGTTTTCTCTTTCTAAGAAAACGATGTGTAACGGAATCATTATTGTGTTGAGCCAATTCGTGGCTACAATTTTACATGGGACCTCTTGAGACCGAAAAAAAAATCATTTGAGTGAGGATTATTCCATCACTGCTAACGAGAGTTGAGAGTTGTTTTGCCCCGTAACGTGGGTAGATCACCTTTTCGTGATACGTTACGAGATGTAATAGTACGTTCAGACTGCAGAGTTATAACATGTTATAGCACTATCTTGATGATGGTTTCTGTGTTGCAATTATTTGACAACCGTTATAACATATTATAACGGCTCAGTCTGGCCAGCGCTTAAGATCTACCACCGATTCCTAGTCCTGACTACTTCAAACTAGGGGAATAGGATTTTTCAGTAATCCAAGGAACACATCTAAGTCCTTTACTTTTTTATGCCTTGTTGATAGCGACAAGACTCGGCTTTGTCCACCGAGGATGATCTTGAAACAAGGAAAAAAATAGTTAGTTAGTCTTCATCTATGTGATTCCTTATCTTCTATTCGTTGTTCCCTAGTTTGAAGTGATTAAGACTAGGGTTCTGATGGATGGTCATTATCGGCGTCATTCCTTAATTTTGTTGCTAAGGAATCCAATTTTGACTGACAAAGGGCCGCGCCTTTGGAGGGTGTTTCAACACTAAATGGGAATATTTTTGGCTACATGACATTAACGTAAATGTTACGTGAAAAGTAGTATGGACGAAAGCTACCTATGTTTTCACGTAGATCGGACGTGCATATTTTTTGGAGTGTAGGGTCCAGGTGTGGGAGCTGCCTTCCTGGCGCGTCGGTAGCATTGGTGCTCAGCACGGAAAACAAGATCGACGGAAAACAAACCAAAGAAAAAAAAAAAAATCAGAAATTTTGCAACTGTGGGACGAAACTATTGAGTGTAGCATTTTGATGTCTTCTAGAATGTTTCTTCATTTTTTGAGCATTTAATAGTTCTAGTTATAGTTTTCATAACTTTAATTATTCTTTGTCCTCTTTACTTTCGAAAAACGATTGCCACGCAAATTGCGTATATCGTGAGATATTAATCCATATGTTGTATTGAACTATACAACATTTTTTATTTGTATGGTACGAACGGTTCGAACGAAGGATTGACAAAAAAAAAATTGTACTTTGCGTAGCCACCATTTCACACGTAACGACGAATAATATTAATGCCTAAGATAGACGCATAATTCCAGTTGGAACGTAACAATAACATTCTGAACAACTTTTTCAAACACAGCAAGCTTCAATGTAACAGAGTAGTCAAGTGAAAGCAATCAATCAGAAGTCAAATGGTACATAAGCGCTGACAGATAAAGAGAATTCTGATCTGAGCTGGCCAGTATACAATGGGTCTTGTCCATCTGAATAACTTTACTAAAAATAGCAACCTCTTATCTAGTCGAAACATTGAAAACTAAACTAACTCGGAGAGTTAGTCACTTCTACATAGAGCTGGAATTAGGGCGTAACAGTTTTTGTAAACAATGACTTCTATCGATGGTTTCTAGGATTTTAAGGCACGCCCATGCAAACCAACAAAACCATCGGATAGGGGAAGTCTTCCCCTATCCGATGAGGATGTTGGTTTGCATGGGCGAGCCTTGATATTCTAGAAATCATCGAGAGAAGTAATTGTTTACCAAAGCTGTTACACCCTAATTCCAGCTCCATCTAGACTTTTACTGATGCGTATGATAAAAATTCTAAAAGCGTAGGTCACTCAACGCATGTGTAACCTTTTAGAAACGTCTCCATACGAATCAGTAAAAGTGATTCACTCTCTGAATAAGATTCGTTTTCGGTGAATGTAGACTGCTTAAGCAAGCCTTTTGAATCAATTTGAGTGAGTGAGGCCAATCATGCGATAGGTCGTGCTATCAAGTTAAAACGTGGAATTTGTTGCAAACTGCAAACTGCGCTTGACCATCCCTTATGCATCTGAATCATTTTTTTTTCTAGCCGAGATGACAAGTTACACTGAAAACTAATCTTATTCAGAGAGTGAGTCACTCATTCGTATGGAGAAATTTCTAAAAGCGTAGGTTACTCATGCGCTGAATAACCTACGCTTTTAGAAATGTAGAGTAAAAGTTACTCACTCTCTTAGTTAGTTGCGTTTGTCACAACGCAACAAACACCTCTTTTTAGCACTCGGCAGTCAAACGATAACTGCAGTCAAATTTCCTACGTTTCCTTTACTTAAGCATTTAGATTCGCGTTATAAGCTGCACTTTTTTCCTGTGTTTTGCTGTTATAGGCCAATGAATAGAAAAAAAGTAAAGAAAATTAAATATATCGAGTGGTACCGGCTCGTCTCTCTGTGCTCTCGATAGTCATAGCGAGCAAACACTTAATTGGTTGTTGACAGCTAAAAATGTTGATCAATGTTCAATAGTTGACCATTCAAGACCAACAATTGAAAAGGCCTCAACTCCATTTTGTAAACAAACCTTGTAAGGCCATTTTTTTGAGAACCGAAGTACGCCAACGCAAACTAACAAAATGAACAGGTAGGGGAAATTCTTCTCTAACCGATTGTGATTTTGGTTTGCAAATGTGTAGGTTTTGGTTCGCGAGAAAATGGCCTTACAAGGTTTGTTTACAAAATGGAGTTGAGGCCTTTTCAAATGTTGGTCTTGCATTGATAAACAACTATCATCTTTATACCAAACAAATTTTACATTCAATCTGAATAAAATGGTGTAATTAAAATTGAATTTCATTCACAAATGAAATGGTCAAAATTTTATTCGAGTTTCGATAAGGTGGTAATTAGAGTGATGCAAAATTTGAAATTTTCGCTCCACAATACTTAAACGATTCCAAACCGGGTCCTGACTAACCTCTCAAAATTTGAACCCATTTGGTGAGAAACTGAGATGGCACAAACCATTTGAAGTTTGTATGGGAATTACTATGGTAAAACCAAGATTTTTGTTCATGTCTATCTACTAATTCACCATATCGGTCTGCTTCAAAAGCTTTCAATAACTTTCCCAGCTACAACTTTGCTGAAGACCACTTTTTGATCAAATGCAAGGATCGAAAGTTATCAATGGTTCAATGCGCTGATGTCTTATGATCATGCTCAATCAACTGCTCAGCAGGCAACATTGGTGTTTCTGGGGCGTTGAATAGGACACAAAAATCATGGCTACTATGTCACACTGCAAAATACAGTGTTGCCTACAGAGCAGCTGCTTGATCTTGTCATAAGCTTACCAATCTCTTAAATAATTAATAACTTTTTCCTGTCTCGTTTTACATAGAAACGATCTTCAGCAAAGTTGTAGCTGAGAAAACTTTCTATAAGAATGGCTATCGAACTGTTTCGCAGCTCAATATGGAAAAAGACTAGAAGGCAATGAACAAAAAGTTGAGATTTCCCATAGTAATTTACATGTAAACTTCAAATGCCTAAGTCTGTTTCTAACCAAATGAGTTGTAACTTTGGGAGGCTAATCAGGACCCGATTTTAAACCATTTAAGCACTGTGGAGCGAAAAAGTCAAATTTTGCATCAGTCTAGTGGCCATCTTGCTTTGTTCCCTATAGCATTTTCCTTGGTCAAAGGAACAGTCGGGAATATTGACTATTCCAGCTAAATACTTTCGGAGTAGTGATAGGATCGGTTTTCAATATTCGTGGGTTGCGACTTTATGGGATTTGTTAAAGTAGGGCGCAATCATCGAAGGTTTGAAAATCGTTGCCTTGAAGTATATATGAACAAATTTCTAGAGGAATTACAAGTCCCTCTGAAGTTTTAACAAATTCTGGATGAGCTATTCTGAGAATAACCTGATAAATCTTATTGTTATCATCGAGCATTTTCTGAATTTATGCAGACATTCCAGAGCAAATATATTCCTGCGCTGGGCATTTCTTTTAAGCAGATAGGTATCCACAACAGGATGCTTCGTTTCACTCGCAAACATACCGTTCCCATACTGAAACATACCACGCAGTACGCGGTGGCCGCAGCGAGGTCAATTAATAACTGACCGTCGACCATGAGCCGAGGGAGTCAATTGAGCTGTTGTGACTGCCGGACTGTTGAATATTTAGCAAATAGTCGCTTGTCCCTGCGACTGAAACAAATCCAGCTCGATCCGGTTTCAAGCCAACGTCACCATCGCAGCCCCTAAGCTAGAAAAGTGTTTTGGTTAACATCTCTTCACTAACAAAAATTGGCAGCGTCATGCTTCGGTAGACTATTCGTATGTTCTCAAAAATTCGCTAACCAAGCAAAAAAATAAATATATTAAGCATACCTTGATCGTTTTGTATTTCCGCTTGGTAGCGGTGTTGAGATCCTCGTGCACCTTGTCCAGCAACCAGAAGAGAAATTCCTGCGCATCGTGCTGCGTCGAGCTCCGGAATTGACTACCGTATCGGTCTACCACGGCCTACAAGCGAGACGGTATCACAATATTCTTCCCGGTTCTTGGGTGAGTTTGAACTCGAAGATAGAAGAAACATTACCTTGAAACTGGAACTGTACTCGGGGGCATCCTTGCACGTCCAGAGGGATTTTAGCACCAGTGCCAACTGTTCCGTCAGCTCACCCTTGGTTCCGAACTTTTTCGCATTGATCTTGTTGCGTCGCTTTAGATCCGCCTGAAAGAGGGAAAACAAATGATTGGAATCGCGCTCGGAATCGCTTGCGAGTGAAGATAAACCGACCTTGTATTGATCCAAAACGAAATACTCAGCCAGGATGTCCGTGTGGCTGAGACACTGGAGGACGGCATTCATGAAGCAGGTGTTGCCGTGGTTCCGCAGGCCGATCACGCCCGGCACCGTATCCGGTGGCCATACGAACCCGTGCGCTGGCGGTGCCGGTGGGATACGATCCCCCTTTTGATTGCCCTGCGAACATTGGGGCAGAGGAGCAAAGAAGTCGTGTTAATTTGCGACTACCTACTTACGAAGGGATTGATTTTTGCGTTGGATTTTTTTGCGAGGAAAAAACACCCAGTGATCGATTTATTTTGCGATTGAGTAACTAAGATAAGTAGAGCTTTTAATCCGGTTGTTTCCATTTTTATGATCTTGGTCAGTTGATTTAATCGCTAATAAAAAGTGATGGGTATGGATATGAAAAGCGGGAGCGCATTCTCGGGGGGTCGCACGATGGAGTATGAAATTTGATTAATTTTAAAATTATTAAAATAGTAGAATGTTACGAAACTCGCTTTTCCTGAAATGCAGAGATCGTATCTTGAAGTCGTTCGTTTAGGATTAGTCTCAGGGAATCTCTAAATTTCTCAGCGAATTTAATCATTTTCTTACTAAGGATATTTTAAAGAAACGTGTTGCTAACGCTGCCAGTCCGAACTTTTCTACTCGGGTATCGCAGTCGTCGCGCCGTCAACCGTCAGGCCACCCCTGAGCGTAAGTAACCACAACAACAAAATAAAGATCGTAGCAAGCGGGAGTGAAAATTTGTTCAGAGAGTGAAAAAATTAGTTGATTTGTCTTCAAATGAAAAGAAGTTTAGAAATTTGTGCTTTACGAGTAGAAATAAAATAGTGTAATTTTAAAGCAAAAGAAGTTGTTTTTAGTGAAAAACAGAAGTACCGTAGGAGTGAAGTAGAAAGGTAGATCTATTTGTTGAAAGTATCCTCTGTGTTCGTATCACTGGTCTAGGGTTGCCATACAAAAAACTTGAAAAGGAGGACATTTCATTTGAGGTTTCGAGATTAGGGAGGACAATGATTCCTTTTCTTAACATTAAAGGAGGGCAATGAGTTTTTATCAAACGTTTTAATAATATGTGCGCTATCACAAAAATCAAGATTTGCAAAGGTTCAATATTGAGATTGTCTTAACTTGTAGTCGTTACCAATTCAGTTAATCTTCTTGTTATACTTCTGAAAAATGCATCAAACTAGCCTTCATAATTAATTGTTGATACTTGGAAATGATTTAGTCTAGCTGATTTGGATGAAAACTACAGTTTTACAGTCTTAAACCCATCCCAACTTTTATCATGTACATTATCAAATTAAATCATTCGATGAATTTTCACTGACACTTCGAAAATAAATTATAATGTTCGATCGTTCGATTTTCGAGAAATTGTTTGTCAAAATTGATTCCTGGTTTGTCTGAAATATCCTGGTTGAATATCAGGTTTATTTGAAATTTTTCCATCTGTCAAATTTAAGTTAAAATTCATCAAATGGATCGCAGCCTTAATGTAGGGGGGTTGACAGCTGTAGTAACCCCTAGTTCCACCATCGAATGACATTTGCTAGATAAGATGAGGTTGTGACATAATTAAACAAATAATCTCTGCAAACAACGCTCTTTGAAAACAATTTTATGAATATGTTACTGGAAAAATGAAAGGATTAAAAAAGGAGGACATTTTTGGGCAAAAGGAGGATGCAGAAAAAATATTGAAAAAGGAGGACATGTCCTCCTTTAGGATACCATATGGTAACCCTACACTGGTCGCACTGTGGGAAACTTGATTGGAGCAAAACTGACGCTCTTTCCCCCGACAAACGAACATTCTGGACAGGACTCTCGACAGCCTGGACACGAACTTCTGCAGACAGGTGAGCAAACACCCGGCCGTCAACGACCAGGACGATTGCTGCAAAACGAATGCATTTTAAAATACATAGGGGAAAAGTTGGCTTCGGCAATACCTTAACCTATTATTGTCAGGGGGTAAATAACGTCCTTGAGAGCTCAATTTTGGCATGTGGATACATTGTGTTTCAGAGAAACTATTGGCCAAATTTGAGTGCTCTAGGACTTTGTTTACCCCCCTGACGGTAATAGGTTAAGCTATTGCCGAAGCCAACTTTTCCCCTACATACAATTTTCCTTGTTATTTTCTGTCACACATTAAACGTAATAGAACCAAAGTGGATTGATCTTCAGTAACAAATAAATAAAGGAGATCTTCAAAGGAAATCGGAAATGAATGCCAGGAAATCTAAGGAATTTGTATGGAGGAATGCAAATGAAATCTTATGAGACTTTCAATGTGAGTAAAATTCCAAGGGAATAAGTGAGATTCAAAAGGAAATCTAAAATGAATTCATTGAAAATTCAGAGAATCTTTCCAAAGGGTTTCTTACTGAAGAAATTGTCAACGTTATTCCTAGGAAAATTCAAAGAAAATTTAATTCGGACTTCGGAGGATAGATTTACCGATGGGACATCCCTTAGCTCAGTCGGTAAAGGAGCAGCTACAAAGCAAGACCATGCTGGAGGTGGCTGGGTTCGATTCCCGGTCCGGTCTAGGAATTTTTCGGGTTGGAAATTGTCTCGACTTCCCTGGGCATAGAAGTATGATTGGATTTGCCACACGATTATACTAATGCAAAAATGGTACAGGCATCGAAAGTTCTCAATTAATAACTGTGGAAGTGTATCTAGAACACTAAGAGCACGCAATAAGCTTGAAATGCGAGGAAGAAGAAGAATAAGAAGAAGAAGATTTACCGAAATTTTGAGGAATATTTAAATGGAATTGCGAAAAGTATTTTAAGTTCATTCCGGTGATATTATTTGGAGAATTCAGAGAAGCGTTCCAAGTGAATTTCTAAAATAATTCTTATTTCGGGCGCGAAACAAAGCGAATGCTGAGGAGAAAATTCCAAGTGAATTTTCCTGAGAAATCTCCGTTGAATATGGAATGGACTGTTCTGAGATCTTCAGATCTACTTGAAAGTTCCCAAAAATTTCCTGAAATTAATGAATCTACCTTGAAGTACTTTTGAATTTTGAGAAACTAGCGTGCTAGCTAGCGTGATGCTCACAATACTTCTCATCTAGTGGCGTCACGTAACCTCACTTTTTACCTGTGCACCAACTTTCAAAAACAGATTTAATGCCATATTCATACACGAATCGGTTGAAAAATACACTTAATCTTCTAGTTAACTCGATATCTATCCATTGCAAGCAATATTTTGATAATTGTTTATGTTTTGAGAGTTGGTGCACAGGTAGATTGAGGTTGAGGCGACGCCACTGTTCCTCAATTTTCCTAACGACCATGGATCTTTTCGCAGAAGTTTTCGAATCTTCTTTAAATTTTAATAATTTCTCTAATGTTAACGGAGCTGTTATAGGTTCTCTGTTCGAATCTTCCCTAAAGTTTTTGCAGGTCTCATGAAGCTTGTTGTACTGCCCTGAATTTAATTGAACTGATCCAAAAATGTATAAACTTCCATGATCTTCTGAACTTTTCTCAACATCTCTGAAGTTCTTTGAAAATCTGGGAACTTCATAACATTTCCCGCAAATTTTCTGAACCAAATGGAACTGAACTCCACCTGAAATTCACCCAATGTTTGAAGCTTACTAAACTTCTTTGAAATGCTCCTGCAATTTGCAAATGTTCGTGAAAGTTCCTGCAGTTCTCAGATCTTTGCTTAAGTTCTCGAAATGTTTTTGAAGATCTCTGCACTTCTGTTCGAAGTTTTTCCTAAATTTCAAAAACTTCTTTAGGCCTCCGCTATTTTCTTGGAATCAAAACGAAATAATTAATATAGGGGAAATGGATGTAATGTCGGGCTAAATGCCCCTAATTTGGACCCATACATAAATTCAGCAATCGACTAAATTTTCAATAGCGACCAAAAATATCCATTAGGGGCTGTTCATAAATTACGTAGACAGTTTAGGGGGGGTTGGCAATTATTCACCGCCCATACAAATTAAAAAAATGTATGGACAATTGTCCACGCAGGAAGAGGGGAAGAATCCCAAAAATATGTCTACGTAGTTAATGAACATCCCCGTCCCAATGACGCGTTCATCTACATAAAATTGATAAATAGCAGATTTTTGGCGATGGGCCCAATCTTAGATCCATAGGCCAACATTAGAGCCATTTCCCCTAGTTGATGATTTTCACTAAAGTTCTCAAGATTTTTCTGCAGTTCATGGAATTGCTCATAAATTATCGACACTAATTGATAGCTTCTTCAATAGTCTAGACTTATTCTGATGTTTTTAAAACTGCCTAAAAGATTTCTGAATTTCATTAAAGTGTTCTAGGCTGCCCTGAATTTATCCCAAAACTGCCACACGTTACGAAACGCATAGTATTATCGGAGATGTCAAAGTTATGTGACCCTTTGGGTCTTGTCGGTCCAGTGGTAGCCAGTGCGAAGATGTTCGTGCAGTGATTGTGGCAGGAGAATCTAAATTGGGATGAAGAGTTGCCGGAAGTACTGCAAGCTTGGTGGCTATCCTTCAGAGCGGAAATCAGCATCGTTCGTGATCTTCGAGTCCCTCGATGGGTGTTCGCAGAGAGTCCAAAGAACTACAAGTTGCACAGTTTTATCGAATTAAAAAATCACGTGTCGCTCCAGTATGCGGTTATTCCATCCCACGGTTGGAACTCTGTGCAGCCGTACTGGGAAGTTAGTTGGCTGATATAATCCGTAGAACAACCAAGTTCGACTATACGGTCACGTGCTGGTCAGATTCGTCGATTGTTTTACACTGGATAAGTTCTCCACCGTCGTCCTGGAAGATATTCGTATCCAACCGAGTAGGCGGAGATCCAGAAACTCACCCACGGATCCTAGTGGCGGCACGTTCCAACTTTAGAAAATCCCACAGATCGTATAGCTCGTGGGGTACAACCAGATGACATCAAGAACGATGTACTATGGTGGCATGGGCCATCCTACTTGGTCAATGGAGCGGAACCGTGGCCAGATCCGTTGATTCCGCTACCGACATTCAGCAGCAGACAACTGCGCAGCGGCAAACGGTTGCACTCGTAAGCATCACTTTCGACGATTCAGTAATCCGCGATTACTCGCAACTGTCATACTGTCTACGTTTCACGAAAAACTGCCGATTGCCGAGGGTTTCTCGTAATGTTGGAT